TGGGTATCCTTTCATACGATTTTGGAAGCGAAGGGATACAACAACCCTGAGACGCTTGGTTGACTATGGGTTAAGTCACGACATTCAGGATTGGCATCGGGCAGAGGTAGTGCTCATACCGAAAATTGACAAACCCGGATACGATGTCGTCAAGTCATGGAGAATGATACACCTCCTCCCGACACCTGCAAAGGTGGCAGAACGCGTGGTCCTACTGAGACTGGCCGAGTGTCTTGATCTGGGGGAGACACAGTTTGGTTCCCGCCAGAAGAGGGGAGTTCATGACGCCATAGCAGTGGTCTTTGAGTTCCTACGACATAATGAGGGCTATAAAAGGCTGATTTTGTCCAAGGACGTTGAAGGAGGATTCGATAACATTGATGTTGACCTCCTGTCAGACTTCCTGGTCGCCCGAGGGTGTCCGTCGAACCTATGTCAGTGGGTGTGAAGATGAACTTCCTGTCGGTCAATTCGCTTCCGCTTTAATGGATGCGTCTCTAAGACCTACTATGTCAGTAAAGGGGTGCCTCAGGGCTCGCCCCTCTCTCCGTTTCTCTTCAGGGCCTACGTAGCCGATATATTCACGCCGCGAATGCGTTACTCCCCCGGGGTCCGACAATTGGTGATCTCATAGGTTGATGACGGGGTCATCATGGTGGCTGCAGACTCTTGCAACGCTGCCCGGTACCATGCGGGAGAGATCTTTGCAGACTGCGATCGCATAGCAAGGGCTAGGGGGATGGGGTTTAGTGCCCTCAAGACCCAGTGGATTGGGTTAGGGGACAAGGCGTGGGGAGGAATGGAGTTGTTGGGAGAAATGGTTTTACCCTCTGAGGATTTGCGGGTTCTTGGGTATAGGTTTAATGTATTTTTTAACTTTTCTTCTCATGTAAAATATTGGCTGGAAAGGGAGTTGGGTGTTAGGAGAAGGATTTTGGCGTTGGGGAGGAGGTTTGGGAGTGTTGGAGGGCTTGGAGCGTGGGAGACTTACCGTTTGGTGCAGGCAGCCTACCTTCCGACCGTGTATTACGGGCTTGAATTTGTAACCGACCATGGGTCGTATGTGAAACAGATTTAGGTCCATGTCAACGACTGCCTTCCATCGGTCTTCCGGACCCCTATGAGGCTGGCAAACAATATACTGCTGGCTGAGTTTGGAACACCGCCTGTTACCATTCAAGGAAGGTATTTGCAGAGGAGGTGTTATAGCCGATTTATTAACTACCGGTACTGTGATCAATACCCGTGGTTCGGTGAGATACTGCACAATTGGAAGCAGGAAGGGATGGTGGCACATCGGCAGACCTCAGACAAAGAACTCACATGCCACCCCACAGTTACGATTGGGAAAGGCAAGGTGGTAATGGCTGCATGTCACTGTTCGCTGTATGCAAATCTCTGCAAGTCCTCGGATGTGGTCATATACACGGACGGGTCCAAGACCTCGGAAGGGGCTGGTGTGGCCTGGGCGGTATTCGAGAAAGGGGCCCTGACTCGTGTCGACGGGTGCTGGGTTCCCCCATCTTGGAGTATTGTTGAATGTGAGCTGTTTGCGGTTGTCTGTGCACTCCGATATGCCCGAGGGATGGCGAAGAGACGCCCAGTCCATGTGTTTTTGGACTGCGTTCCCGCCCTCACCCTGATAGACGGAATGTTTTCGGAGGGCGATTCGGCTGAAATGTGGGAAGTTATGGTACTATTGCTTAATGAGTTTAGCAATGTCAACATCAGCTGGGTTCCGGGACACATGGGCATCGGCGGAAATAAGACGGTGGACCAAAAAGCTAAAGCCTGCGTAGGTCGTCCGTTGCGGCCTCTGAGTTGGGAAGGGGTAAGCTTTGGGATCGGGCATGTGGCATTGGCCCGGGAATTGCGAAAAGCAGAGTGGGGTTCATGGCACGACAGGGAGGGACACGGGTATTGTACTCGCGAACCCAGGACACCCTGACATCTTCGAGGCCTCACCCGTATGGACTCCTATGTTTTACTAAGAATTCGCAGCGGGACCGGTTTGGTCGGGCATGACAGCTGTGAAGGGAAGGATGACAGACACCACTGGACTAAGTGCCCCCGCTATGCTATGGGATGACCTGCTGATGAGGACTTGTACAAGGACTCGGCGATGTTGCGGTGGAAGTCCTGGTGGGTGAGTCATAGGTGGTTAGGCCTAGGGATTCCCCGGCATGTTGAGATGGTGGATAGGGAGTTGGTAGTGGCAGGTAACCCCTTTGACGTTACGCTGATGGTGGAAAGAAATGGTCGGTTGGCAACGGTGGAGGATTCCAGGAACTGCACCCGGTGCGAGAAAAGACACGATGGTAGTGGATGCGTTCTACCGGGATTGGTAACCATGACAAAGAAGTGGTTTTTCTTGCCCGACCAACGACACTGCGATTGTCCCTGCTGTGGGACTGCGATTTCGGAGACGGCCACCCAGAAATGAGTCACCTTCGCCGAACGTTTCCAGAAAAAGCCGTGCTGTCTACGAACTTGTCACGATTGGTTTTGGCATTCTCGGCACCAGCAATGGGAAGAGCTGGACCTCGCGACTCGGACATCGGTGGTTTTGCGGTGGGCCAAGGCAAAGGGATTGTTGAAAGAGGAGCGTTGTTCATTTTGTGGGGTGATTCTGGCCGAGTGGTACGTGGACCTGAGATTACATTATAAGAGGACAGAGGGGTGTTGGGATAGACTGTATGTTTCCTTTGTAGAATACGTGGGACAAATTGTGTTGGGGGCGGATAGGGGTGAGGGTATGAGACGGTGGCTGGGAAGCGAGGTGGGAAGATGCATTAATCCGGGGCAGCACTAGTTGCTGCGAGCGCCCGTGAGCCCATTTAGGTAGTGATTTTTTGAATTTATGTTTGGGGGGAGTGGTTGCAAGGCGGAATGGTCCATGGTAGTATATTTTAGTTAGATAGTTTTGTTTTATAGGGCGAGGAGGAGACTAGTCGTATGCCGGTGTCGGCGGTACTAGTATAAATAAAATTAGATTGAATTCTAAGTACTTTTCCTACTTATTACTTTAACGAATATAAAACACCTTTACGATATTTATCTTTATTGCAACGTTATCGTTACACCAAGGAAGGCGCTATATGAAGAAGAGTTAGAGAAAGCTTACGATAGGTGGTCCCGGTAGAAGACAAGGGTCTTGTACTATCGGTAACGTAGGCAGAGGCTTAGAGCTATCGTAAGACAAAGGAACAAGAAGACAAGAAGAGAAGTATCGTTCCCCGTCGCCAAGCACCAACTATCTAAAGAGGGATCGTTACAATCATTCAGAAATAAGAGGCAGGGAAACAACCTGAGATGAGCGGGTTCGTATTGTTATATTGCGCAACCGTACAAAATCACATATGTGGTAGAAGGATATTGCCCAAGCAGTAAGTCTTTAACCTCTAAACTATTAGCTAGTGAGATAATTGTACAATAATGTAGCTTACCAGTTATTATGTAAAAGGTAGATATTGACTATCGAACCTACCAAAAGATCTATAGAAAAACTAAGATGCATAGAATCCCTGAAAATGCGAGACGATCAGGTCAACTCCCAGTGTTTGATGAGATTGAAAAGGATTGGTTACATACTTTTGTGACTAGTGATCACTTGACCCGCCATATGACATGGAATATGATACGGGAGGAAATGGGTTATGCCTGTTCTGCAGACCTTATTTGTCGAGTTATGGCCAGTATGGGTTACCATAAACGTCAACCTTAACGGAAGTTTAAAGTACGACTGTAAAATTAAATACGACAGGTTTAGTGGGCTCAAGTTCATCATCACTGAACATTTGATGACTAGTCTAAGATCATATTCTCTGATGAGTCCTACTTCTCGATGATTGGCTTTAATTACCATCCTATGGTGATATGAAATGTGAAGGAGGAATACTACCCCGACTGTATTGATGATTGGAAGAGCTCTGGAAGAAATAGTATTATGGTATAGGGGGCAATTTGTGGTAAATTAAAATCACATTTGATATTCATTCCAAATAAGGTTTCTATCGATTCTTCTACATATACCTAATGAATCCTCGATCCACATCCCATTCCCTTCTGGCATCAGACTTGCGAAGATTACCAGTGGACACAGATAGTTGAGAATTGGGCTCCCAGCCATCAGAAATTTGCTATTCAGTGCCGGGAAAGAAATGGAGTTGATAAGATCATGGATTGGCCTCCCCAATCCCCTGATCTTAATCTGATAGAAAAGGTTTGGAGATGGATAGAATGTGAGTTGAGAGAACAATGGGGAAGGATTGAGGAATCAGAGCCACTAAAGGTAGCTCTACAGATTATTTGGGATTCTGTAGCAGTTGATTTTTTGGAGAGTCTTATTAGGAGCTTGCCGGAATGGTTGCAAGCTGTTATTGATGCAAATGGTGGTCCTACCCATTACTAGTTTGTATTGTATCTAAGAGCTCGATCCTATGAATGCACCGCCACATGCACCGCCACGTTCGCCAGACTTTCCCCTACACCCTTCGTACATGCAGAGTGCGTGCAAGCCTCAGCACTTCGATTCTGCACTCCGGTAACCCTAACCCATGTTGTTACCGTCGCAACAGGAGTGCGTTCGGAGGTGCAAAACCTCGATATTAGCTATGGTCTGAAGTTCGCATATCTGCGAATTTATCGTAATTAACAAAAAGTTGCTTAATAACCTTTGTCTTGGAGACTGACAAGGGCGGCACAAAACTTTCCACGGCTTCAACAGTCCAGGAGATACTGTACTCGTAGTTATGGCTCAAGGGGGTATCAAATTCCAACAGGTATACTAGTACCAGTATCTTATCACATGGACAGTCCTCTTGCAGAGTACTCGAGGAGTTTATTAGGGACCTGCCAACCTCATGCTGTGTGACAGAATTAAATTTATTTCTTTACGCATCATCACTCGTTACAAACCTTAGTCATCAAAGTTTGGAGTTTGGCGTTAACAATTTACGCGTGCCGCGTTACCCAGGCCTCTACGAAACCAAAAAAATCTCCCCTGTGCGAAAAACCTCCTCAGATAAAAGGCCTATTCAAAAAGTTACGACTCACGAGCACAGTATCTCATTTCCTCTTCAATTGGCCAGTGCACATCAATATGGCAACAACGCAGCAGCGAATTGTCCCTCGCTACGCCCGTACGCATCTTACAGCCATTTTCTAAACTCCAGACTAACAAGCTTCCGTAGACACCGCCGGACGAACGTCGCTGGCATACTCCTGGGATGGTAAATACCTAATCACTGTCGGGTCCAATGAAGTCATCCGGAAGTTCACCGTAGGGTCGGAGGATGAACCCGTCACTATTGACGATGCGCTGGGGAGGAATGTGGCTGTTGCGGCTTCAGTACGATACATACAATTACCTTTACCCCCCCCCCATTTTCCCATAGCTAACTCACTGATTGACTGATTGATTGATAGAATGAAAGTTTCATTACTTGTTCAGAAAGCGGAACTATCTCTCTATTCTCTATGGCTACAGATACACTCAAACAACTCCTCGTGCGATGCACGCTCTCGTCGAGAGATATTGCGCTTAGTCCGGATGGTGACTGGGTCGCCGTCGCGAGTGACGAGACGATTGTTAAGGTGGTTAACGTCGAGGACAACCACAAGATTATGAACCTGCGGTCTCAATCACAGTCTGTCAAACATGTAGCGTTCCATCCGACCGGGAATTATCTCGCCGTTTCGTGTGTTGACGGAGTGATATATATCTACTCGCTGAGCACCGAGGAACCGGAGCTGGTGAAGAAGGTGGACGGGATTATCAAGGCTGTGGATGCGGAGTCGGAGATCTGCTCGAAGGTTTCGTGGCATCCGGATGGGAGGGCTTTCGCGGCTCAGACTCCTACCAGAGGTTGGTTGTCAATTGAGGCGTGGGATTATCTGGGTCGTGAAGGCTAATACGGAATAGATATTATTGTTGTCGACCGGGCAAAATGGGAGACCCACAAGGCTTTTGCTAGTGGTCATGCCGGGGATATAACGGACTTTGCCTGGTCTCCCAATGGCGCATTCCTTGCCAGCGCTGGGACTGATGGGAAGCTTGTTATCTGGGAAACGGAAGAACAGACTATAATCGCAAAATACGATTACCGACACATTGTCTCGCTTGCCTGGCACCCAAAGCATAACTCGATCTCCTTCACAACCAGCAGAGGGGAACTATATACACTACCCAACGCTGTTCCAGATGATCGTGCTTTCCGATTGAAACTTACCACCCGTCTGGCACCATTGCTAAATGATAGTGGTCCATCAACAGTTTTAGAGAACAGGAGCATGCCACCGCCACCTCGTAAGCGGGCTAGCTCAGTAGACTCTTTAGATGATATACTCGGGGGTGGAATAGACGACGACCTTGACGACTTTATAATCGACGACGATGGGGCCGGCTACTTAGAACCCAAAAAGAACCGAAAACGCGGTAACGAACACCTAGATCCAATTGTGCACGGCCCCAAACGGCCAGCATACGGCATGGCGATGTGGTCCCCGGAGATCCACGAGCCCTTCCAACCGGGGAGTACGCCCTGGAAAGGAAAACGTAGGTACCTCTGCCTAAACCTTATCGGCTTCGTCTGGACTGTAGACCAAGATACGCACCACACCGTCACCGTCGAGTTCTACGACCGGGACTCCTACCGCGACTTCCACCTCGCGGATCCATACTTGTACGACAAGGCTTGTTTAAACGAGAGCGGCACACTCTTCTCCTGTCAACCCAAGGACGAGAATCCCGCCGCCATCTTCTACCGTCCGCACGAGACGTGGGCTACCCGCGTCGACTGGCGCACATCCCTGCCCAGGGGCGAGGAGATCGTGTCTATTGCGCTGAGCCAATCGTACATTGTCGTGTGCACCTCCCGGGGATACGTCAGGGTCTTCACGCTCTTTGGCGTGCCATTCAGGGTCTACAGGCAGAAACACACGCCGTTCGTTGCATGTGCTAGTTGGAGGGATTACATCTTTGTCATGGGGAATGGGGCCGTCGGGGCGGATGGGAAGACACAGTTGACGTACTCGATCGAGAACGTCAAGAGGGATGAGACCTTGCAGTGTTCGGATGTCGTGGCCCTACCGCCGGACGGGGAAGCGAAGAATGTTTTTTTTTCTAGCGATGGGGTATTTAGAGTTTTTCCACTCTTGAGCATTTTGGATTACGAGTGACTGACTGTGATATGAATAGGATCCGGTGATATATGATTCTGAGGGTGTATTACTGGTGCTGGCTCGCTGGAGGCGGCGGGGGGAAGCTAAATGGATACCTCTATTGGACACAAAGGCGCTAGACCGTCTAGTGGGTGGTAGAAAAGAGGAAACATATTGGCCAGTAGCCGTCGCACAGAATAAATTCCATTGCATCATTCTCAAGGTAAGAACGCAATCCATCATATTCAACACAAGGAGAAAGTAATGGAAGGAAATGGAAAAAATTAACATTAAAACTATCTGCCTCCCCACCTAGGGCGGTGAAAAACACCCCTACTTCCCACGCCCTCTCCTCAGCGAATTCGACTTCAAAATTCCCCTCTCAACAAACTCCATTGCCGACTCCACTACCACCACCGAAGGTGGCGCCACCCCTGCCCCAAATACAGACGTCCTAGAAGAAACCTATGTCCGCGAATCCATCCTACTGGACCTGCGAGAGGAACTTGGGGTGTACACAACCACGGACGAGCAGGGTGCGATGGAGATGACGAAATGCGTGAACGCGATCGACAAGGCGCTGCTGCAACTCCTGGGACTGGAGTGCCAGAGCGAGGATTACGGGCCCAAGGCGCTGGAGATTTGTGGGTTGTTTAGGCGGAAGAGGACGCTAGAGCTTGCTATTAAGGTTGCCGTCAGGTTTAATCAGGGGGTTCTGGCGGAGAAGATTGGGGAGTTGAGGGACCGGATGGAGATTGAGGAGCGATAGTTTTTTTGATTATTACGTATGTGGTGGGTGAGTAATTTTTAGGGGCTGGGGGGGGTTATTACGGGGGGGGGAAGTTGGTTATGGGGATTTCATGATATCTGATAGAGCTCTCGCGGCTACTCTACGGCGTTCTTCTTTTGAGACATCTTCGCCCATGTCTGGTTTGTACTGTCAGTATTTCCTAAGTTCGGCGGTGATGGTTTATTTGGTGGAATCGTTTAGATTCGGTTGGGGATATCCGAATGGGGAACAAAAAAACGTACCTTTGAGAGCACTCATCTTCATCATCATGCTCTCTAATTTTTCCACCTGCGCCTCTTCATCCTCATCATCCGTAACCCCATGAACGCTGCTCTCCCCTGTACTCTCCTCATCCCCAAATATTGCCCTATGCAGCCCGAACATCTCCCTCTCCATCTCATCCCCAATAAACTTGAGTGGGTCGATCCCCACCCCATCGTCGTCGCCCCCACTAGTAAAGGGTCCAAACGACCCAGCATCATCATCACCATCTCCCCCATCACCATCCCCGATCTCATCATCCGCAGCCCAATCATTAGCCTCCAATGCCTCCCTAACCCTCTCCATGCCAGCGCACTCCCCGAACTCATTCCTAACCTTAACCTCAAAGTCCACAAACTCGAACCCGCACTCCCTGCACATCTCCTCCCAAACCTCCACCTCCACCTCCAGCCTCGGCTGCAGACTCTGTGGCATGCCGACCGCAAGACACACGCCGTCCCAAGCGTACCCGCACCCCTTCACGATCCCCTGCACAGCGCGCAGGACCTCGCGGATGCGCGCGAGGTCCACTTCCGACGAGGGCTTGCGGAAGGTTAGTATGAATGCACCGAGGGCATGCAGCACCTCGCGCGCCTCTGCAGAAAGGTAGGTGCTCGACCAGGTGTTTGGGGAGGTGCTCGGGATCTCGTCGATCCAGATTGGCACGATGGTCTTGTAGTACGGTGTCGTTAGGGGGAGGGCGTGGCTCAGGCCTGCTGGGGAGGTGGAGGTTGTGGTTGTGGGTGGGAGAGAGCCGGTTAGAGCTGGGTTTTTATGTCAGTGTCTGGGATATAGAGGCAATTAATTGGCGGGGGAGTGATAACTTTTTAAAAAGGCCAGTTTTCCAGAAGATCGCTGTCCCACCAGAAGGATTCGGCGGGAGTTGGTGATTTCTAAAGCTGACATTGTTGTCTGGTTATTTGTTTTGTCGTCGATTGGTGCTTGTTGTTATGTTATAATGCAGTGTAGTAAGTTGTGAAATGAGGAGGAGAGGAATGAATGTGGGGTGGGATGGTCCTCTTAGGTTAAGCCAATTTGTCAAGCCATGGCGGAGAGAGAGAGGACCCTCACTGTATCAGAGGTGAGCCCGCATGCCCGCCAAGACATTATTTTTTCTTTTTCGCTCTTCCTCTTCAGATAAACCATCTTAACTTTTTTTTCCCTCTTCACACCACCACCATAATATCGAGCTCACCCCGACCAACGCAAAAGTTCACAACAATGCCAGATAAAAAGGTTGTCACTAAATCGCCCGCTGGGAAGGGGTCTGTTGCACCAACTTCAAATTCACCATATCAATTAGATAATGCACAGGTTTGTCTATCCATCCTGGTGAAGGCAGCAATTGAATAATACTGGCGGGGAAGAAACAACAATAATAATAATTATGACAGGTCCTAAAGGCTTGCAAAGCCCTCCTAAAATACCTCAAGGGGAAAAAGGCAGAATCCGCAAAATCCAAGAAAGCCAACCTCCTTGAGGACCCAGAGAATCCCACGCCGGAGACAATATGGTTGAATTTGGCCATGAAGAAGCTAGTAACAGATACTAAGCGGCTCAAGCCCGCCCGGATGTAACCCCCCTCCCTTCCTCTCCCCTACATATTTGTACTGAAAAAAAGCGATCAGCATCCTCCCACACCCCCTCCGCGACCCGCAAACAACCACTATCTGCCTAATAGTCAAAGACCCGCAACGCACCTACAAAGACCTAATCGACACCATGCCCTCCCTCTCCGCCGTCATAAAAAAGGTAATCGGTGTCTCCAAGCTCCGCGCGAAATTCAAATCCTTCGAGTCCCTCCGCCTACTAGCGGCCTCATACGATCTATTCCTCGCAGACGACCGCGTGATCTGCATGCTCCCGGCCATCCTAGGGAAGACCTTCTACAGCCGCAGCATAAAAGTGCCAATCCCACTATCCATCTCACCGCAGGAGCGCTTGAAGAGCGAGGTAGATAGCTGTCTGAAGGCTACCTACCTGCATTTGAACGCAGCAGCCAGTTCGAGTCTTAGGGTCGGGCTGAGCACTTTCACCCCTGAGATGATCGGGGAGAATGTTAGCGCGGTTGTGGAGAGGGTTGTTGAGGGCGGCAAAGGGGTTGGGAAGGTGGGCGTGCCCGGGGGATGGAGGGGTCTGAGGAGTCTGCATTTGAAGAGCCCTGAGAGTGCGGCTTTACCGTTGTGGCTCGCGGAAGAATTGTATGAGGGCAGTGACGTGCTGAGGGATGGAGAGCGGGAGGAATTGGGCGCTAAAAAGGCGATCAGGAAGGCAGAAGTCAAGGAGAGGAGGAAAAGGAAGATGAAGAAGAGGCAAACTATGGTTTCTAAGGAACAGAAGTAGTATGATATCTAGGAGGGGGGAGGAGGGGGGAATGTGAATATTATTAAGGGATGTGAGTTGGAGTGGAAAGAAAAAAAGGAAAAAAAAGCAATGTGCGTTTTTTGCCTTCCTGTCCACCCATCAATTTATCATAATTCAATTCAAGTCCCAAAAAAGCCGGAACAAAAAAAAAACTCCAAACATTGCGAATGAAGACTTGCACACCCATCTGACAACCACGAATTAACCAAACTCTTAAATTCCAACAATCCAACCATCCACCCGATACTCCCCCAACCCACCATCGCATCAACATCCAAGATCCATACACCGGCACTGGGCACCCTCTACTATCTAACCCGCTTGTAATCTACTATACGACATCCCTCCCCCTCCCCTCTGTTCAGAACACTAAAATTGATTTCTATCGAGTGATATTTCATGATTGTATAAGGAGGATAATCGGGTATCGTGGGCTTCGCCCGATTGAATTGGTTTCTTGTAGCGTGTTGTAGGGCATAGCAGGGGCGCTAGGTGCTCTGCCTAAATACATGCTCAAGCAAGGGATAAACATAATTCGATACTATTATCATTCCTTTGAATTAAACCAAACCAAGCTAAGCCAGCAGCAAAGGTCGGTGGGTTCGGTGGGATGGGCCACGAAACTTGAGTCAAATATGATATAATATTATCACTCCCAAGAGACAAATGAGAAGGCCAAAAAATTCCACCACCCACCCAAGAATGAAAACTCAAAGCTCCACACCCTGCACCTGCAGCTCCATCTTCTCCACGTTAACCTTCCCGCCGAGGTACTTCTTGAAAAGCCCCGTCAACAACTCATCGCTCAACTCCATATGCCTCCCAGGCGCGGTCAGAAACTCTAACCTCTTCCGATCCCCCAATTCCTTCAAGCCGATCCAATCCTGCTTATACAGCTCCCTATCCTCTACGAGAGTTCTTTCCCCGGTAGTCTTATTGAACTCGGCGAACCAGGCACTCTCCTTGGGAACAACGGTGGTATCGTCTTCAAACATGAGCATGACGAACCCCTCCAGGCTCGCCAGATTCTCTGCGTAAGTTTTGTTGCGCTCGCCGGGGCGCTCGTTATTGATATCGGCGAGAAAGGCAGAATGCTCAAGGTACGCACTTAGATCCTCTGGATCCCGGAAGTACTGTGCGGGTACTACGCGGTTCTGCACCCAGGGGGTCCACTTGCTGGAGCGGAGTGCGGATGACGCGGTTCGGCAGACGAAATCTGTTGGCTTGCATTCCGCTAAGAAGTCTGCGATGCCGTTGTGCTGGCTGCCGAGGGTTATAAGTGTTTTCACGGGCGGGTCGTTGCAGCGTTGAATGTAGCCACGGAGGAATTGGCCACCTTGCGAGAAGCCGATGGCGTTGAAACCTGATGAGAGTTCCGGGATTGTGGAGAGTTGCGAGCAGACGCTAGCGATCTGCCCGTCGACTTGGCCGAAGAAGGTTGCTGAGCGGTCCGCGTCTGAATCCTGGTCTAGGTAGATTGAGTGAACGAAGGTGCCCGGGTGGACCTATGCTGGGTTGTTAGTACCGTAGCGAAGAGGGAAGGGAGGGGGTGTTACTTGTTGTGCTAGATTTCCAACGCTTTGAATTCCCTCCGAGTCGTATGCATCGCCTGCGTTCAAAGGAGCAGAAGCAGGGTCAGCATTCACCCATACTATGTGCAAGGAGCAACAATCACGACGGGAAAACCCCACCAAGACCATGCCAGATGACCAAAGGCAGCGGACGTCCCATCGGCGTGGCAATCCCCACGCCGGCAGACACGAGCAAAGATATAATAGGAGGAGAAATCATATCGCACCCCTTTCCCTCAGTCCCAGCAAATTGTACAGAGGTGAGGAGCGGGAGGAAAGGGGAAGCTTCCAAAAGTCGACGCGTAATCAGTTTGAGCCTCCCCCGTTCTCAAATCAAGACACAATATGATTGGATAATCTTCGCCCTTGTTGGTTGACAAAGCGGTTCTCGCGTGGATTGGCCGGGACTAACCGTGCCAAGGTTGTGGCATAGCCACAACCCAAGCTTGCTCGTTCGCAAACTTGGGCACCTCGCTCCGCTAGGTGCCCTATAGCTCAACGCCAGATTTTTCGATCACCCCCCACAAACACCCCCCCCCCCTCTCCACGCAACTCTTTCAAAATGAGTGAGCAGTATGCCGAGATTGAAGCCAGGATTGAGCTTGCCTGTGAGAAGCTTTTGGAAAGTGAGAAGCCAAATGTTGCAGCTGCTGCCCATGAGTTTGAGGTTCCCGAGACCCGCCTTTGAGGGAGATGGAATGGCCGTCAAGCACGAAATGAATGACTTCCTGCAAACAGAAAGCTTACGCCAGAGGAAGAACTTGCTGTTGGGCTCTATCTTCGGCGCCTTGATGAGATTGGAACCTCCGCCCAACTAGCACGAGCCACTCGCCAGAACTGCTCACGACGCTCACTTCAGAAAGGAGGTGTCCTTTATGCCCATCAAGCTCGAGCGATAGTACGTAAAAGGCAGGAAGAGGATGTGCAGAAGAAGTTGGAGCAAGCGGAGAGACAGCTTGAACAGGCAAAAAAAAAAGCTATTCGTGACCGAAAAAAAAATTGGAAACCAATCTTTCAGGAGCTTAAAAGGTCTACTAGAAACAGAAGAGCAAAGGAGAAGGAAAGAAGCAAGGGTGGTGAAAATATTGTATTTTAAGTTCTATAGCTTGGTAAAATCTGGCGTTGAGCCGAATCTGGCGTTGAGCTGTAGGGCGCCTAGCGGAGCGAGGTGCCCAAGTTTGCGAACGAGCAAGCTTGGGTTGTGGCTATGCCACAACCTTGGCACGGTTAGCGGATCAAAAGTGAACCGTGCACTCGGATTATTGTTTTTCCCAACGATGTGACGGCGCCGGTATGATACCGGTTAGACTACCGTAAAAGCAAGGAGGGAGGGAAGAGGAGAGGCGGGGGGAAGGGGAAAGGAAGGATCCGATATTTTGATTGCGAGTTTGGACAAGGCGATAGGAGATGCTGATACTCGAGTACAATGAGACAGGTTGGGGGCTCACCCATGAGAAAGTGAGAATTGAAGCTGTAGAGGCCGGGATAAAGAATTCTCACACAATTGCACAACTCGCCACTGGTTCCTTAAACAACTCTGCGCAGAGTATCGTACGGAAACTGATGGCGGCTTAGCTCAGCTTCCTGGACTTCACTCAAGGGTTGCTGACTTCCCTCCTCCCCAATTGTGTTCCTGCCATCGCACACGATGTCATTATGAATACAAATTAAGTTACTCGAGTATGATATTCCATCATCCATTCCGTGGAATACACAGATCCTGTATCGTATATCATACCGTACTGTACTGTGCCGCACGGTACCGGGAAAACCCCTCCAGCTCCGGAATGCCGTAGTATTTTTTTTCTTTGTCGCCATTAACTCATCTGAACCCGCCGCTAACTAGGTTAGGCGGACGTAGACCAAACAACGGGTCCGTTTGCTCTGCTGATTTCATCTGAACCTTGATTGGCTCGCCACTTATTGGGGTCATGATCCAGCACCCCAAATTTACTTAGACTGTGATACAGTACCAGCACCGGTATCATACAAGTATACTGTGCCAGTGCAGTGCCTCACCCTGACTCTTCTCAGCCGACTCTTTTCCCCTTCGTCCTGAAAGTGTACTCACGACCTACAGCTCCAGCGAGTTCTTGAGAGCCTCTTCGTCCCCTTTCCCTTCCTTCCTTCCTTCCTTCCTTCCTTCCCTATCTTCATTTTCCCAAGAACCACACCTCCGTCCACCGACCGACCAATAAACAAAAAAACAAACAAAAATGTCAGTCCGAACACTGACATCCCGCCATCTGTTGACCCCTCTCTCCCGCCTCTCTCGCCCATATTCCTCCTCCACCAAAAGCACCCTCCCGCCAACCAAGCGTCTCCTCCAAACCGCCACCTCTCCAAACACTAGCATCCCCTTCCCGCCCGGCCTATCAGTCCCCGCTGCCCCCGCCCCCACCACTGTACCCACAAAAAAAACACTCCGCCCCCGTAAATCCGCGATAACCCTCACCCCCTCCGCCACTCAGCACCTCCGTTCCCTTCTCGCGCAGCCAACACCCCAGCTGATTCGTATCGGCGTCAAGAACCGCGGCTGCTCGGGCCTCGCATACCACCTCGAGTACGTCGACCGCCCCGACAAGTTTGACGAGGAGGTGGTGCAGGACGGGGTTAAAGTGCTCATCGATTCCAAGGCGCTCTTTAGCATCATTGGCAGCGAGATGGATTGGGTGGAGGATAGAATCAGTGCGAGGTTTGTGTTTCGGAATCCGAATATTAGTGAGTTTTTGCTCTTTCTTCCCCTTGTTTTCCTTTCCGAGTGAGGTGGGGGTGGACTAAGGGTTATTCTAGAGGAGCAGTGTGGTTGTGGGGAGAGTTTTTCGGTTGGTTAGATTAGGACAAACAATATTGGAAATTGGGATTCTGGCTTAGATTGGGCAGATTGGTGGATTACGGCCGGAAGTGGGCCTCTGGTTAGATTACCTTGTTTTTTTTCTTTCCTTCATTCTCTTCATTCTCTATTCACTGGCTTTGTTAAAAGCGGGCACTTCCTCTTCTGCTTTTTCTTCCCGGGTTGGCTGTTTCTTTCCACTCATCCACTTCAATGCATTCTTTTTGGGTGGTAGATTGGTGTATTTTCTCCTTTCTCCTTTCTTTCCTTCCACTGTCAATTGGCACCTAGGGCGGTTTATAGAAAAGCTACTACTTTAGTTTCATTGTTTTGTACTGTATATATATCATGTCGTCACTACATTTAGTTCTCTCTCTTTGCTATTGTAGCATTTAGGTAAAACCCAGACTACAGTAAACCACCAATCAACCACTGATATTATACACCGCACTGAAAATCGAGAAGCAGCACCGCTTTCCACTACTGCTACTACTTCGCTGCTTCTACTACCCCCGCCAAAACTTCCCACCCCCATCAAAAGATCAAGCCGTCCCCCTCCCCCCACGGTTCTGTTGACCCCTCGCACGGTTAACCGTAGCCCTTCCCCTCGCCAGCCCAACCCCTCTACCGCGTACAGCTCTAGACCTGAACATTGGAGCATTCCTATCACACCCCATTAGCCCCCTTCTTCCCTAACTCGGCAAAACGGAAAACATACCTCAACATATCCGGCACGATAAAAAACCTAACGTGTGAGCCGCGGATGTACACCTGGTCGAGGTGGGATACGCGCCCATCGCGGGCTGTAACGGTAATGTCACGGAGTTGGACGTTCATGTTGTCTTCGGCTGTGTTTATTTCACATGCGTTAGTCGGGGGGATCGTGGGGGGGGGGGTGGATAGGAGGAGGGGGGGAAGTGCCTTCGAAAAGTCTGCCGCGGAATATTTGGCCAGAGGTTAGTTCTAGAGTGCAGACGTGGCCCTTGATTGGGTTAGTTGACGTTTGGATTTGGGGTGGATGGAGATGGAGAAAGGATACCTGGGCCTCGTTGAGGAGCTTTATTGGGATTCCAATACTGCCCATTGTTTATGCTTGCTTTAATCGGGTGATGGGGAAGGTGAAGGTGGCAAGGACTGCGGTAGTGGTATTGATGGTGAGGACGTGCTGTATGTAAGTACTCGAGTAGTTTGGTAGGCACCGTAGTGACTAGTGGTAAATCTATGAAGTGGTGGTGGTTGATGAATGGATGGAGCAGGGGTGAGGCTCTTAGAAAAGCTTCGGTTGGATTTGCTTTGGTTTGGCAGAGCTTGACTCGATCACACGCAGTGTGGGTATGGTGTGGTGGGGAGGGACCCGCCAACTTGGCATAGTTAAAGATTTTACGAAACATGTTCCCTTGGCTCTCACTCAATCACTCGCTCGGAACCACCTTTCTACCTCCACCATGACCGAACAAAACATAACCCCGAACGGGGCCACCGTGCCCACCTTCTGTAAGCGCTGTAGCACAAACTCCTCCGTAATAAACCTCCGAACAGAACACCTCTGCAGGTGCCGCCCCCTCCTTGACTACCTCCCCTCCTCAAACTAACCAGTAACCCAGCGATTGCTTCGACAAATACGTCCGTTCGAAATGCATAAAACGCATGGAAGCCTACCGCGTTCGTTATAACCCTCCAGACACCGACACCTCCCCTCGACGTCTCCTGCTCCCTCTCTCGTTCGGGATATCCTCAACAACTCTGCTGCACCTCCTCAACTCACAGCTCCAAAACCAACTCGCGCGCACAACACGCACTGGGTTTGTGCTCATAGTCGTGCATATTGATGAGAGCGCCATAAACCCCACCGTCCCGCTAGCGGAGGAGGGTATGCGGGCAGTGCAGGAGTGGTTTCCGGACGTGGGAGAGTACTTTATCGTAAGGTTAGAAGGAATTTACGGGTTCTCCAACGCCGTGAAGGCTTTCGAAATGGGCGTAGAGGAGGAGGAGAGACGGGGAGGAGGAGATTGGAGGGAGAAATTAAAAGGCTTACTGGGCGCATTGCCATCGCCTACTTCCCGCATGGACCTCCTCCAGATCCTTAGGACGAGACTCATCACCGAGCTCGCGCGGAAGTACGCTTGCGAAGCGGTCCTCTGGGGAGATACTACTACCCGCCTTGCAGAGAAGATGCTCGCGGAAACCGCTAAGGGGCGGGGGTTCTCCGTCCCCTGGCAAACGTCTGACGGCGATTCCCCCTACGGCGTCAAGTTCTTGTATCCGCTCAGGGATCTGCTAAAGAAGGAATTGGTGGTCTATGTGTCGCTGGAAGTGCCCACCCCGCTACGCCCGCTATGCTTTGGGGCGGCGGAGGAGGGGGAGGGGAAGAAGAAGCATGCTGCCGTTGGGAAGGGGATTACCATCGATGAGCTCATGACACAGTATTTTGAGGGGATTGAGGGGCAGTATCCGTCCATTGTTGCGAATGTTGTGCGGACGGCGGGGAAGTTGGTTACAGAGGGGGGTGTGGTTAGGATTGGCAGGTGTAATATTTGTGGGCTTCCCAGAGATGGTGGTGGCGGGGAGTTGGTACTTGACGCCAAGACGAAGCTTGGGGAGAGTTCTAGTGGAGAGGTGAACGGGAACAGAAGTGGAGGAAAAAAGGAAGGGGGTGACATGTGTTATGGGTGCGCGAGGTCGGTACATGGTGCCAGGCCATACGAATGGCCGTTATGATTATGCCGCCACAGTAGAGTTTCATTCATGGGCCTTTTGTCATTCAATGTAATATCATACAGTGCTGTCATATAAGCTGCCGTAATAATCTCATGAATCCAAAATAGATTTTGATCGTCATCTCAAATTATCACTCGACTGATCAGAGATTAATGCCCCAAACAAAGTGTCTCGAAGCGGTAGTTTGAGGCTGTAAAGAGACTCCTAGAGTCACTTTTTGAGCTCCCCACCAGACCTTTTGTATGCACTCCCCAGTAAGTCATTAAAAAAAAGGAGAGGGATGTGGGAGGGTCGGCTTTATATTGTATGTATCATACGGTATCATACTTGGCTGTTGAGGTATCTTCATAAAACATCACTCTGCCAAGAAGGCTGCCAAGCTACCTTCCTAAGTTTTTGCGGTACTCTGGTGTGGACGTGGGTGGCCGGACAGCCGGGGATTAGAGGAATCAAAGCTTCTTGCTTGTTTGAGAAAATTTTCATTCCACGTCAGTCCCTTTATTTCCTATGATAGTAGAACGGTCAAGCCTCTAGAATCCCTAGCTATCCCGTCACCCACATACGAGTACTAGTACTAGTACATACCCGAGTAGGTGGAGTAAGAGGCTTTTATATGACAAGTGAGTACCGGTAAGGTCTATGATATGATGTTTCTTTCTCCAGATAAGTTATGTGGTGTTTTAAGGTGTCCATAACACCGCCACTCTTCCCAGACATTGTGATCGCCCGACTGCCTTCACCTCTCTTTTACCACGGCTGGTTTCCGATCTCTAATATACCGGTATGGTACTTGTAAGTTGCACCAAGAATTCTAAACAGATCACTCAAACCCTCACCCTTCGTCACAGTCCATCCTCAAAAATTATCATATTTTTTTGGGGGGGATTTATCGAAACCATTTGGGTTATAGGTAGAATAAAGTATTTTTTTTTTGTTTGTTGCTACAACACCTCTCAAAAGTACTGTCCCACGCCCTGTATCAACAAACGCCCTACACCAACCACGCTTACAACAACACTCATTGCTTCACAAAATTAGGCCCAAATTAGATGAATGTGTGTTCAAATTGATAACAATTAATTGTCTTTCAATACTTTGTATAGTGACCATGTGCCTTATGCATGGCATGCAAATGGTGAGGCATAGACCTGGTTAATAGATCAATTAAGGATTACGAGACTGCCCACCATGCCACCTTCAGCACTGCCTCAAATACCATCCTATTAGCTTCATTCTTCTTCAACATCCATAACTTGGGGTAGCATTTTTGTAAAATAGACTTCATTGCTTTCCAGATATGTTGGATTGGGTTCAAATTTGGACTATATGAGGTGTGTACCTGTACCTAAATATCGTGAAGGTGAAACCAGTCCATTGAGGCCCAGGAGGTATGAATCTGTGCATTATCTGGAAGGAAAAAAGTACCAGGTCTATAGAAGGTTAGTAAACCTTCCTCAGGAGTCTAAATATGGTACTTAGAAGAGTATTCCTTCTGGGGAGTTGCTTTATCACGCTGTATAATGATTAAGTACAATCAACTACAGATCTATATACATCTCTAGACCATTTGTGATTACTCAGGTTTGACATGAGCTTTTAGATTGATATTAGGCGGAGAAAATCTGATAGATTTCAGAATTGTCTAAGCCAATGGAGATTCATTTCTGTAGACGGAGATTGTCTAGGAAGGCTTGGTTTCACTCTTTTCGTTTATGACTTCTAAGAGTGAAGTAAATTCGGTAAAGTAAGATAGAATTGTAAAAACAATATTATATTGTTAAGGTCTCTTCTTCATTGCTTGATGATGTCTAAAGCCTGAGAGCCACTTTGATATTTATATTCTGTGTCTGAGTGTTCACAGACAATGTCTGTTTATTATACAACTAGGTACTTCTCTGATTATAACTCGTAATGTCAGGGATTCTTAAAAGGCGCAAACACCTGGAGACTCTGAAAATTACCACACTCTCTTTGGCAATTACAATATAACTAACTCAGAAACATGCTGTTCGCAATAGTAGTTATCCAAACATTAGATTCTTTAGACTTCTGACCTAGTTCTTTCAGTCAAACTGAGCAGGCTCCAATTGTCTCTGTCATTGATGAAACAATTAATTTTATCTGCGGGTTGCATCTGCGAAGGTAGTCATAATTGCAATCTTTTTAGGTCACTTGACTTTAAATCTTCATAACTCCTTACTTAACTGATAGATGACTTCTGGAGAACTTTCTACTAATTTGCAGAAAGCTATTCTACCAGATTGACAAATATTCTCTCAGTCGGCAACCCATAGTTGCTCTGCGTAACAGGATTTTAATCACAGTTATAGTATAGAAAGTTATCCCGGTAACTACAACATATTTCGAAGCCTAGTTGCAACACTCCGTGAAGTCCATTGACTTCTATTGTAGTGTCCCTCAGAGTTAAAGACTCTTCTGGTTATTGTATGGTGGATGTGAATGTATTAGTCTCTCGTTGAGATTCTTTACTATTCAATACCATCTCTTTGTGTGAAAATGTCCTGTTACTTTTGGCGCCTTCCAATGATATTACATCTTTAAAGCCTAGTAACACTCTATGTAGTTGACAGATTTACTCCGTTCCACTTCCCAGACCTAGCTGAAGGTCCCTCCTCATATATACCTCGAATGAGATCTTGTCAGATGGACAGCGGCGATGTATACATTGTTATTCTGATACCTTTAGCTTTAGGGTATTATAGTGACAGGATGCAACGGAGATTGATATGTATAATGAAGTGCAGGTCCTGTAAGGAAGCCAGAGTAGGGTGTTGGAGACCAGTGATTCTGATTCGTGGTAAGGTTACCCTACTTAGGGTGACTCCTAGGTATTACATCTCGGTATTCCTAATACATTAAGCAGGTGATGATAGTGACAGGAATAGACCTTAGATTACCAGATAGCACCTAGGGATAGATAGCACCCTGTAGCGGCCTACCAGTCAAGCATTAACTTATAAACAATTCTGGTGTAATCAACGCTGACTATACAGGTGAAATCAAGGTGGTCCTAGCCAACCAGGCAAACTAAGATTATGAAGGACAGAAAGGCGATCTAATTGTACAATTAATTATTGAAAAGATTAATGACGAAGAACAGTACGAAGTGTATTAACTAGAAGATACCACAAGAGGAGTTAAGTATTTTGGAAGTACAGACTAAACCTAGCCCAATATAACAAAACACGAGATTATAGAGATCACTGTAAAGGCCTTTGCAAGGTATTATTGAAAAGGAGAATCCACAGGGATTTTCAAATAGACATATGAAGATGAAAGAGTAGTCCTAGCAAATATCAACATCAACATAGAGCTAGTGATCCATAATAAGAAATACCAATGCAAAAAGGGAGAGAAAGTAGTAATTCCAGGAGAATACCATCATTTCACAAACCTATTCCAGGAAGAAGAAGCCATGGGGTTACCACCCCAGAGACCAGGAATCGATTATAAAATCCAGCTGGAAGAAAACAAAAAAATGGGAAAAACTAAAGAGATTCTTTACAAGAAGCTATACCTACTAGGAGAGGCAGAACTTAAAGAACTCCCAGAGTACATCGAGTAAAACCTAAACAGGGAATGGATAAGAGACATCTTCTCATCAGTAAGATCTCTGTCACAAATGTGACTTGGCGAGGAAAAGGTTTTCAGGTGACACATGGTTATGAGTCACAGGTATGTTATTGTTTCACACATATGACTCATTCGAGTCAGATGATTTGTTATGTGTGGGATTTGTGATGCTTTCGCACATAGCTTAAATATGAGTCATGGGAGGTACGCCTGATGAGTATGCCTTGCGAGTGTGCCTTGCGGGTATACCTTGGGTATATGATTTATGTTTCACACATGACCTCATTATGAGATCATGGGTTTCACGCATATGACTCAATTGAGTCATAGGACTTGTTTATTGTGTTATGATTGGTTTATGAGTTTTTGCACATAACCTCGCTATGAGGTCATGGGCTTTGAGTATGTGACCACTTTGCTCACATGACTAGTTTACTATGATTTGGTTTTGCACATGTGACTATTTTGGGTCACATGACTATGGGCGGGAAGAACGCTATATAAGGAGCCTGATGCGGCTGAGGAGGATAGGTTCTTCACGCTTTGTTCTAAGTACTTTTCCTACTTCTGGTACTCCGTGTCAGAAGTGAGCATAACTAATAATTTACCTTATTTTGCTCGCGATAAATACCTCATCTACTGTTACTTGTTTGTGTTTTTCGTTTTGGGCGGTCGGTTAGAAGTAGTTGTTCTTGCTTAGAAGATACTTCAGTGTGAGATATCTGTGGCCTGGTCCCGGTAATCACTGAGTATAGTTTGGGTGAGGATGGCGTCTTCGACAGCCTCTTCTTCCATGGATTCTCCTCCCCCTTCGAGGATGTCTTCCCCTGTTCAGTTTGACTCCAATCCCTCCTCCTCGCTTGAGACAGCCTGAGCGGCCCTGTCTCTTGCGCCTACTACTGAGGCCGACAGTGGTTTTATCTCCACAACTACACAGTCATATGTCGCACCCAGAGGAAACTTTAATTTCCTACAGTTTCACCACTGTCACAGATATCAGAATGCAGTAAACCCACAGTTTGATAATTTGGTATAGTAAATGGTCGCTGACGTGACCGTTGCCATGATGAAAGAAGTAGAGGTTTTGGTGCGAGGTTTTCTGATGGGGAGAGGCTATCTAGCCACTTGTAGCTTGAACAAGGACACTACTACAGGACTCTTCGTTCGGTTCAACTCTGATCATGGCTTGGAGTACTCTCCAGCCCGGGCACCCTCCCCCACCAAAGACTTCCAAGCCGTTGTACCTAAATCCTCTGTACTACCAACCAAGAGTGCGACTATGGTGGAGGCAAGTTCATGGTCTACTACCCCTCCCTTCGCAAGGGCCATCCAAAGCAAGATGCCCAGTTTCCTCCGCCAGGTCCCTATACGTAAGGCTGGCTCGTTAACTCCTTTCTTTTTGGTTGGGATGTTATCCGGAGAAAGGGCTCTCTATGAGACCCCAAAGTTCAGATTAGATGACTTGGAGGATGAGGA